ATTACCGAAGAAAGGCGATCTCAGCAAGTGTGATAACTACAGGGGCATCACTCTTCTTTCAATACCGGGAAAAGTCTTCAACAGGGTGTTGTTAAACAGGATGAAGGACTGCGTAGACGCCCAACTTCGTGACCAACAGGCAGGATTCCGTAAGGATAGATCGTGTACAGACCAAATCGCAACTCTACGGATCATTGTGGAACAATCAATTGAATGGAATTCATCACTCTACATCAACTTCATTGACTATGAAAAGGCATTTGACAGCGTGGACAGAACAACACTATGGAAGCTTCTTCGACGCTACGGCGTGCCTCAGAAGATAGTCACTATCATACAGAATTCCTATGATGGATTAAACTGCAAAATCGTGCATGGAGGGCAGTTGACAAAGTCGTTCGAAATAAAAACCGGTGTCAGGCAAGGTTGCTTACTCTCACCCTTTCTCTTTCTCCTGGTGATCGACTGGGTCATGAAGACGTCAACGTCTGAAGGGAAGCGCGGGATACAATGGACATCTAAGATGCAGTTGGACGATCTAGACTTCGCAGACGATCTGGCCCTTCTATCCCAAACGCAACAACAGATGCAGGAGAAGACGAACAGTGTAGCAGCAGCCTCAGCAGCAATAGGTCTCAATATACACAAAGGGAAAAGCAGGATTCTCCGATACAACACTGCATGCACCAATCCAATCACAATTGATGGAGAAGATTTGGAAGATGTAAAAACCTTTACGTATTTGGGCAGCATCATTGACGAACAGAGTGGATCTGATGCAGATGTGAAGGCGCGGATCGGCAAAGCAAGAGCAGCATATTTACAACTGAGGAACATCTGGAACTCAAAGCAACTCTCAACCAACACCAAGGTCAGGATTTTCAATACAAATGTCAAGACAGTTCTACTGTATGGGGCAGAAACCTGGAGAACTACGAAAGCCATCATCCACAAAATACAGGTGTTTATCAACAATTGTCTACGCAAAATACTTCAGATCCATTGGCCGGACACTATTAGCAACAACGTACTGTGGGAGAGAACAAACCAGATCCCAGCAGAGGAAGAAATCAGGAAGAAGCGCTGGAAGTGGATAGGACACACATTGAGGAAAGCACCCAACTGCGTCACAAGACAAGCTCTCACATGGAATCCTGAAGGTCAAAGGAAAAGAGGAAGATCAAAGAACACATTACGCCGAGAAATGGAGATAGACATGAGAAAAATGAACAAGAATTGGATGGAACTAGAAAAGAAGGCCCAGGACAGAGTGGGTTGGAGAATGCTGGTCAGCGGCCTATGCTCCATTGGGAGTAACAGGCGTAAGTAAGTAAGTAAGTAAGTAATGAACTATTTGCTTTCGATTCGATCTTGGTTAAATATTAACTTTTACGGTAATTTTAAATATATACTGAACTTCGATTCAAATCCTAAACTCTACTGTAGTCGAAAAGATGTCGAGTGAGAAGAACAATTTATTATTTGGTACAATATTACAGAGTTCTTAATTAAAATGTAAAAATCATATATTAAATACCTCATTTGCAAATCTTCCATCCATTGTCCTTTACATCCTTCATGATTCTTCCGATTATTGATTCCTTTATGTTTCCCTCTCTGTTTTCTTCAGTTCAACCTTTTCAAACTTCTTTGGTGTATTCCACTTCTTATTGGCGTTACATACTACTTATATTTGTCAAAATAAGTAGCATACACCACACGACTTCTGACCCTAGTCCTAACTCCGGTCCCTACCTGTGATCCGAATGGTAGCCCGAATATAAACTTTACTTTTAATATTAATACCAAATTTAACTGTAAACACAACTTGTAACTCTATAATCCTAAGCATAACAAATATTGCAGTGAAATTCACTCTATCTCCAAATTTTTTCAAACTCATTCACGGTTATTTTATTCCTGCATTAACATATGTCTGTTTTCGTCAACAGCCTTACATCATATGAGTACTTAATGGTGTTCTCATCACTAAAATTTGTCATTGCGGATTGTGTCAGTAACGTCCTAAATTAATAAGGTCAGACAAACGTCAAATCAAACTGAAATATGAGCCAAAACCTTGAAGCTGTTTTCTTGTTCTTGATTGGCCCGGTAGTTTACTTTATCTTTGCCGTTTACCTCATAGGTAAACTTATAAAAACGATGAAATGTGTTTGGTTCGGATAAGGATTTCTTCCCAGTTTCTAAATGACACAATAAATAAGACTTTTTTGATTTCACCTATTGATCATGCTGTAGAAAACTCATACGTCTATCATTCATCTATTACTCAGATTACTTTAAGTTTATTGATCCTGAAAATTGGACATGTAACAAAACTCTGCTTTTTATTTTGTTGATAGTTATAGTAGCAGTGGCATATTTTCCGAAAGTTTTCAATTATGATTTAGTAGTAAACAATATTTTAGTGTCGGTACGTGAAAATAAAGAAATCTTTCTATCTCAAATAAAAATTCTCATTTAAAATAAACGACAAGTTAGTCAATAACAGGACTCAGTATCTAAGTTGATAAAGCGGTGACGTTTGAAGCGGTCCTGGAGTGAGCATCAACTCGGGTACAGGTGCATCCAGCTGACAAGTCTCAAACAAGGTGGGGCGGCTGTCCTAGGTTTCATTGCTAGCGATCATCCACTTCTGCTTGTTATTACTGTAATTTCGCACATTTTACAGGTATTCGTTATCACATCAAAATGTAATAATCGACGGCACAGAATCGGTTTCATTGGTTTATTTGAATTCGTTCTCGATCTTCATGTCAATGTCAAGTATCACTAATCTGTCATTCCCCCCTATTTCTTAAGCTTAAAATGAATTTATCATGTTGAGATTTCTCGGTCTGTCACTTATGCCTAACCATCGATTACCTATACGGGCAGCTGGTGCAGAAGTAAGTTTTTAGAAAGTGGAGAAAACCTAATCAGGATGTGGCATTGATTCATCAACTCATTGGCCGTTGACAGACTAACAAGTTGCAGTCTACACAATAACTACAATAAATGGTTGGAAATGTTGACAAGTATATTTCGACATCGGTCACATTGGCACATATGCATCCATTCTGTATGTTCCTACAGGTTTTGAATTACATTATTCCTTCATAAACACTTTTTCATTCTGTCTTTTCAAATAGGGTTTTAAATGTTTATTCTCTATTGTTATGACTGCTACTATATTATTTTAAATCGTTTGCTATTTATTTTAGTAGTATTATCTCATCATGCCGTTGTGGTATGGGAACTTGGACAAATGCATATTTTTGCCCAAGTCTATATTGAATATGATTAACTGACTCACTCACTGAGGGAAACTAAACTTTAAATCAATAGACTTATGACAACTTAATAAGTAAGATGTTTTGAAATTCATTGATTTTAATGCAGTTTATCGACAAACAGGAAAGATTTTCATAAGTGAAAACATAGACACGTCCTTGAGGAATAAATGACATAAAATAACACAAACACCATTTCATCATGTGAATCTGTCGGACGTACTAAAAAGGGGAATAATTTGATCCTTCATCTTTTGAAAAAACCAAACTTATATAAAAAGAATTACATATACTAAAGTAAAACAGCTTAAAGAGAAATTCACGTGAAACTTTGTTGGGAGTACGGCTGAAATTCAAATACAAAACAATTACTGATTGAGTAATATTGAAATTTGCGTTGTGTTACAGAAATATTGCAAGTAAGATATGAGGTATTAAAATTTAAAGATAAGCTCATGTAGAAGGTAACTGGGATTATAATCTATGGATGGACCAATCAGATTTAAGATTGTAGATCTTGTATTTTGGAGCGAAGTTCATTCACGCATTTGGTTAAACACCATTTCGACATTTTAGCCGTCAGTTCGTGATTAAATTATTAAATCTAATTCCTAACCATTGAATTCAACTGTCAATCGTAATTCTAACTTCGTCACACTAATTTATAACCTTCATTTAACCCTAGTAAGTAGGTGGACATTTCAAGGTCATGTTAGCGTTTCTCAAAGGTCGTCCATAAATTACGGTCTTACCAGGTAACATATTTAGTTAAAGTTTGAGACAATCTCCCCACTCATTATTTTGATAGTATAAAATTAAACTAGTGGTCTTGATACGATCAAACTGAAATGCTATTTTGAATTTGGATAGTGTGATAAGACGACTAAGATTATCAGGAATATGTGATATATTAGCGCGATACATTTAGAACCATCTATTCCTTGCATTCTAGTTTACCAGTTTATATGTTTGTGTGAACACGCCTACATAGATGAACAAATATTTTTGGTAGTGAACGATATATATATACATCTTTGCTTATGTATATAGTTTTATTTTTAACCTGCGAAGAGTAAAATTCATTTGAAAAGTTGCTTAAGTGTGTTATGTCGGTGTTATGTGATATATTTTATTGTTCTAAAAGTCACCTTCAGTGCTGACTTCGTCATCAATGGTTCATTAATATCCTGATGTAAACAACATATTTAATATGATATCTTATGGAAACCTACTGTACCACAGAGTTCCTTCTTCTTTTGTCTGACGGAGATTTTCACAGGTCCCAGTAAACTGTCACTGGTCACATGGATATTGAACAGCACCAGCGACTTCACTCTGCTACCGGTGGTTTAATGTGGCTGTATTACCATAGGACGCACATTTTAGGTTGACCTACCGTTAGAAGCAAATATCTGTTATTCAACTTTCATGTATTTGGATCTATGTTATCTAAGTAGTAGAGTTTACTGCCTATTGAAGGTAAAACATAGGGTGAAACTAGGTTGAGAGAATGAACAGCTAAACAGTATTCAATATTTTCTGGCTTATACTACCCTCCCTTCAGCAAAATAACTAAGATTTTCTGTTATCGTTTCTTGGAATTCTTACTCATAGATATGTTCTCTTAATGATAGATTCTAATACCTTTTATCTAACATGAACCGTAATGCCATCTGAATAAAACTATTTAACGTAACCGCACATCATTTATTAAGTAAAGTATCAACCTGTTCTACTTGAATCTGTTGAGCCAATAAAAAATGAAGAAATATTTCTCACTTTTCTTCTATCATGGCATAGTGAAAGGTGTTTTTGTTACAGTAAATCATTATTATTAAAAGGAAGGATTAAACAGAAAGTGAATACATTCAATATATGCTCAAAATTGTATAACTTCTGTCTAGATTACTTCAAAAGTGTATTACTTTTTTAAAATCTAGTTCCAAAGAACGATACAAATTAAATCGTTAGAGAAAAAAAAACAACTTAAGACTCTTGAGAAACATATATTTCTATGAAAATTTAATCATAAAACAGTTTCAGTTAGAACAATAATCTATATTTTACTCTTCTTGTTAGTTTTCTTTTTACATATTTGGAAACCAATTGCACATACCAACAAACGATGGTGGAAGTCTTCTTCTATGGGCCATCAAAGACGATTTTTCCAACTCGTGTGTCTATTTGAAATAAGAATATCGTTAAATTAGCCAAGTTATATATATATTTATATAATTTGAACTCTGGGACACAGACGAGTATTCAGATCCTAGAACAATCTTACATATGATGAAAACTATTATTAGTTAACTGTAAAGTGTATCTTATGAGTTGTGTAGCTGGCATTTTCTGTACGAATATATTTTAGGTGCTGAAATTTATTTGAATTGTTGGTACTCTTTCACACATGCGTATTACAACCTCTTGCAAGCTTTTACATAATCGTATCAGAATAGTTACAACATTGCTAATTTGATATGAGGTGGATTCTAGTAATAGCGTTGTTATTCCGCTTTGAATAAGGATATGTTGTGTCAATATTAAATGATTACTGAATATATATGTATCAAAGATGAATAGTAGTTTAAACATTGTGACATATCTGCTTGATGATGAAGATTTTTCGCCAGTGCGACGAATTTAAAAACAATAATGATTTTTCTGTTAAATTTTTAGTTAGGAGATATTAGTAAAATACTATCACAACGTCCACAGCCTTACTGTATTGAATTTTATTGATTATTGGGAAGTCGGGCAAAACTTGGTTGTAAGTTTGAAGGAAACAGCGATTATCATTTCCTCCTATATTCTAAGTTTGAATGATAATTAATAAATCATCCACTGTAACATTTATTGCTGACTTCCTAGCTGCTTCCTTTAACCACAGACTATTTCTATTCATTTGTTAAGGTTTCTACTATCCGTTTGAAAATTGGATTCGATTACCCTACGATATCATATATAAATTGTGAGCTAATGCCTTGATATTATCTATAGTTACAAATTTTTATCACACTTTATATTTTTGTTAGCGGTAGTGTCCAGTACAGTGATTGTGTTTCTTTTTTTTAGAACCGTCAAATATAATCTTTAATATTTACGCGTTAATTCAGATTCCAGCAATTATTTTTTGAAGTTTATAATCAGGTTACTGATTATAAACAAGTAGTATCAAACTCAAAGTATTTCCAATCAAAACGACATTGTACCATGCTTACTTCATATTGACATGATTTAAGGTAAGTGAGAAACTGATTGTCAGTAAAATTTTTAGATGAAGTTTGATGAACTAAAAATTTAGAAGCCACCTAATTGTCACTATATTTGATGAAAATCCCTTAGCAATTATCAATAGATGTGAGAATATTAGTTCCCATAAAGTATTGAGTAAGCAGTAGACCTATTAATTAGATAAATTGTTTGCAGAGATGACTGATCTGAGGAATAGTAAATTACTGATCAATATATATGGTAAATTGATAATATAGCATCTCCTCGATGCCCTAAAAATCACAACCCAACTTGAAATTAATATCTAAACCAGTTTGCCGAAGCTATCATGTGCATATTAGTTCCATTTTTGAAATAGACACTATTTTATTTGTTATGTCATAGTAAAACAGATGCTTAGTTTGTATTGTGACAAGGCCATAAGGTGTAATTATTGACTCATTCACCTACGTTGCCGGTTCGACTGATGATTTTCCAATTTCCACTTGACATATCAGACAATGAATAGCAAACAATTTATTATTATTTATTTATTTATTTGGACACATGAATATTGGTATAAGAGAGCGCCAATATATATGCGCCACACAAAACAATGAAAATTCGAGAGGAATACAAAGAAAGAAAAAGCTAAGGAGCGCAACAAAAAAAAAGAGAACAATAACGAAGAGATTGGTGTAAGGTAATGTGCTAGTAATCAGGGAACGGAAAGGTACAATCGGAAGAAATCTTTCAGTTAAGGAAGAAACAACCATTTTTTTATGAAGAAAGTAGAAGAAGGTTACAGCAGGATCGCCACTGGCTTCTATTCTGAGCCAAATCTGATAACGTCTCTAGCCACTGTGTCGCACTATCTCTCGGACCCCAGCCAGGGAGTCGTGAAGGACCAACACAAGCCAGCCCTTTGCAGCTTTCTTTCATACTACGACACCATGTCATGCACTGACCACCTCTCCGCTCTTTCCAACCAGTCCCAGAGTCGGCAAATAATACTCGACGTGGAATTCTCTGGGACGACATTCGTAGAACATGTCCAAGCCACCGAAGTCGGCGTTTCAAGATGATGACATCAATCGGATTATCTGCGCCAGAACACACGACGCCGAACCTCTGCATTACTAACATGGTGTTGCCACTGGATGTCAGCAATCCTTCGGAGACAGTGATGATCGAACACAGAGAGTCGTCTAACATCCTCAACTCGGAGAGGCCAGGTTTCACAAGCATAGAGCAAAACTGCTCTCATCGAGGTGTTGTAGATCCGACCTTTTACAGCCAGACTAGCATCACGAAGGCGCCAAAGGTGGCCCAGATTGGCATAAGCCGCTCTGGCTTTCACTATACGTGCATTGATCTCATTACTCACACCTCCACCAGCACTTATGCAGCTACCCAGATACACGAACTTCTCGACTACTTCTATCTGCTCACTATCCAGGGTGAGTACAGGATTGGAATCCTGCCAGTCTTGTAGAAGTACTTTGCACTTCGAAGGTGCAAAGCACATACCATACCTACGGACACTGATTGCCAACTGATTAAGTGTGGATTGCATGCCTTGGGCATTATCGCACAGTAAGACAATATCGTCCGCATACTCAAGGTCGAGAAGTCTTTCTCCAGGCAACAGATCCACACCACCATTACTTACATCCATCAGAGCTGTTTCCAGAATGTCATCGATGGCAAAGTTGAAGAGGAATGGTGAGATTGGGCAACCCTACCTAACCCCACTACTCGAATGGAACAATGGAGAGAGGTGGTTGTATGCCCTCACTCTGCCTGAGGTGTTTTTATATAGGGCTTTTAGGATGTTAATAAACTTCTCAGGCACACCCTTCTTCAATAGACAATCCCAGAGAACAGTCCTGTCCAACGAATCGAAGGCAGCCCTGATGTCAAGAAACACTACGATTGTTGGCCTTTGAAAAGTATGGCGGTGTTCTAACATTTGGCGGAGGGTGAAGATATGGTCGATACATCCTCGACCAGAACGGAAACCAGTCTGCTCCTCGCGAGTCAATCTTTCTCGGGTTTTGAACAACCTACGAAGTATGACGGAAGCCAATAGCTTGGACGCAATCGGAAGTAGACTTATCCCTCGATAGTTGTTACAGGAACGACGTGAACCCTTTTTAAAGATAGGGACAACTATCGACTCATTCCATGACGTTGGTACACTCTCTAGCTCCCAAACCTTTGTAAACAACGTCGTCAATTCCTTAGTCAAAAAGTCACCACCATCTTTAAAAAGAGCCGGAGGTAAGTCATCTGGGCCAGGTGATTTGTATCGCTTCAAGGGTTCGAGTTCCTTGCGGACTTCCTCCTCGTTTGGTGGATCAGTCGTCACCGGCCATGGAGGGCAGGACAGTCTGACCGATGTTGCCGGAGCAGCAGGCCAGTTGAACTGCCCTTCGAAAAATTCTGCCCATCGTCCAAGACGTCGATGGATGATAGTGATTGGCATCCCATCATCCTCGCAGATTGTTTCACTCACACCAGACTTCTTGCTGCCAGTGGCTCGGATGAGCTGGAAGAGCTTCCGGTAGTTACCAGATGCAGCTGCTGCTTCCAGCTCATTAGCACGCTTCGACCACCAGGCTTCTCGGCCCTTACGCAAGCTTTGCCCAATTTCCTTACGTAACATCCTTCGTTTATGGTCAAACTCACGGTCACCCGGAGTAGACCGACGGGCTTCAATAAGTTGTAAGGAACCAGAAGAAACCCAGTGCTTAAAAGCGGGACGTTTCGCAAACCCACAACTGACTGTACCCGCCATTTTCATGGCGTCATGCAATTGCAACCAATGCTCATCTATACTTTTCGGTGGAGTGGTAGCTAGCCTAGAGGCTAGCTCGGTTCGATACTTACTTGCAACAGAAGTTGCAACCAGCTTGCTAACATCAATCCGTTGATGGCGTTCACTTCGTTGGCCACTGAAAAGTAAGGCAAGATTGGCGCAGACCAATGCATGGTCAGAGTCCAGATAGGTACTCCAAAAGGAGCGGCAGTCTTTAACACAACTACGCCAGCGGTAGCTGATCGCGATGTGATCAATCTGAGTCCAGGCTTGGGATGCAGAGGGAGGACGCCAGGTGGAACATCGGCGATGACTGTGCCGAAAGTTAGTGCTAGCCAGAAACAGGTTGTGGTCTGTGCACAGTTGCAGTAGACGGTTCCCGTTATCTGACCTGCGACCAACGAGTCCCCATCGGCCACCTAAACGGCTCTCTTCTGTGCCTAGACGCCCGACCTGAGCATTCAAGTCTCCGGCTAGTACTACAATATCTGTCGAACGCGCTTTCTGGAGAAGAACAGATAACTGGTGGTAAAACTCATCCTTGATTGCATCCGGGCTGCAATCTGTCGGGGCATAGGCGGAGATGACGAAAAGACATCGTTTCTCACGCCGATTTCTTCTCACTTTGATGGAACTTTCTAATCTAACAGCACATAACCGACTGTTAATGGGGATCCAATCGATTAGTGCTGCCTCAGCTCTAGCACTTAGTGCGACACCAACGCCAGCAAGACCAGACGAAGATGCCACAGGGTCCCCGGATAAGCGCACGTAAAACAAGCTTTTTGAAGTGACAGATGTAGAGCGAATTTGTAGTACATCACCAGAGTCTTGAATACGGGTCTCGGATAGACAGCAGACATCGATATGAAGACTTTCCAAAGACATAGCCAGCCCTATCTGTTGACCAACCTGCATAAGTGTGCGAACGTTGAAGGCAGCCAGTTTGAATGGCACACGTGGTTTCAGAAAAACTGCTTCAGTACTCATATTCGATGGTAACATACAGTTTTCAACCGGACAGTGACTCGAGTACGTTTAGATAGAGTCGAATTTCCACCAAAGACGAGCCGCTGTATAAGTATAAAAGAGCGTGAATAATGTGGAAAATAATAATAATAATAATAACAAATAATAATAATAATAATA